AGGACGATGACACTGGAAGAGCAAAGCCTCGGGGGTCTTGGAATATGGCATAGGTCCCTCCCAAAACCCTATATAGTCCCCTGTGGGTCCCCCCACACCTAAATTTAGTCCGTAGCTCATATGACCACCGTCACATGGAACCGCTTTGTTAGGAATTTCGCGAAATGTTTGGAAAAGTATAACCCACCGGAATGTGTAATGTAAGCACCCCTAAACCCGAAATGTGTAAACCCTAAAGCCCTACCCCAAACCCTTACCTGGACCCCAAACATGACGGGAAACATAACTCAAAACTGATAAAAAATAAAAAATAAAAATCTGCTCTACATTCTTTTGGGGCTGGAGTTACCTCTAAACGCCTTAGCCCGAAGAGCTCGACCCTAAACTCTAAGGGACACGCGTTGACCGTCAAAGCTGCGCCCGCTTTGTCGCACTTGGGGTCCGATCCAACCACAACCTGCCAGTTTGGGGTTTAGGGACTAGGGTTTAGGGTTTAGGGGTCTAGGGTTTAGGGTTCAGGGATTAGGGTTTAGGGTTTAGGGGTATTTGCTGGGATTCCCTTTACAGGGATCATGGGTGTAATGTAGGGTCGTACAAAGATATTTGGGGTTAAGGACCTATCTATCTAGAAGACTGTGGCGCAAAATGGAACCAACATCGAAGATGGCACGGAAATCAAATGGAAATCTGGGGCTGTATAGCGGTTCGGGTTTTGGGAGTGCATTTAGGGGTTCAGGAGTTTAGGGGTTAAATCGCATTGATTTAGAGCAATCGCATTGATTTACAGCAAGCGCGAGCAGGTCTTTGCAACCAAAGTCATTTATGTTTTGCAGGATGCTGACACCATGTACGGCTATCAGTTTCTGCTAGTGCCCCTACGATATTAGCCCGATGCCCTAAACCCCAATCGCCTAAATCCCTACACCCTAAACACCTAAACTCGAAACCCTTCAACCCCTCAAATTTGATCGGAAAGCTGTGAAAAGAGAAGAAGCGCTTCCAAAGACAACCCAAAACAGCCATCGTGGAAAGCACGCAAAAAAGAGCCAGCAACAAGCAATGGCTTGGGATGTTTGGTTCAGGGCTTGGTACCTTGACAATATGGGATGGTGTCGAATTTCTGGCTCGTTTGTGGCGCTAAGGGTTTGAGGTTTCGTGGGGACCCAGCCATTGCTAAGACCATCTTTCATATGAAGCCTGAGCCCCCCTAAACCTTAACCTTTGCCAAAGCCACTTTGAGCGCATTCGGCAGCTCAAAGAAGGAGTAGTCGCGACCTTTCAGTTCAGTACTGTAGGGGCCTGACTAATTACC